TCATCAATGGTTGAAAAGAAGTATGCCCGACGTCGGCCAGAATTTTGTATATAAAGGTATTGTTATCTTTCTCTTGAAAATGCACATTTAATCTTTTTCCTCCCATTTTATCGCACTTGTAATGAACTACGTCTGACCTGAATTCCAAAGAATGAGATACGTATGCGGCTTGTGTCGGCCTTGGTCACCCCTTTATTCAACTTTCAATATGTTCTTTGTGTTTGAACTACGTTCGACCTAAATTCTCAAGAATGAGATACGTAGGCAGCCTATGTCAACCTCGGTCGTTTCCTTAGTTAAATTTACTATTCTTGTTAGTCCTCGAGGGGGGGAACTACATTTGACATGATTCCTACCTCAACAGGACACGTAAGTGCCACAATGGCTCGGTCATATTTCTCGTAAAATTTCTATTGTTTTTATTATGGAAACTGGGACAGAATTTTTGAGAGGATCAAAAAAATTCATTTGAAGATTGACTTCTTCAACAAGTCAAGACTGAAGATCAAAATGCAACTTGGTAGGGTTTTTAGTGGATCTCAAATTTCCACAATATGACATTTTTTAGAAAATCAAGTTGGAAATCATGTTGAAATGTGCAACTGGGACAAAATTTTTGAGATCATCTCAAAAATTCCACAAAAATGTCATTTGTTAAAAGACTTATACTTATTATTATTAAGGCAAACTGGAATAGAGTTTTGAGAAGGGAACTCAAAATTCCAGAATGAGCAACCTCATAATTAACAGAGCAAGTTACAAGAGTTTTTTCGTATTTTAGACTGGGACAAAAATTTTGAGGAGGGTCCTAAAAAATTCAATCAAGACTATCTTACAAAGGACAGATGAGCGTGTAAGCTGACAGCATGAAGGAGCATGAAGACAAGACCAACAGAAATTAGTCTTTCAAACTAAAAAATTTTCTTTGGATGCAGGAACATTGCAGTCAAAAAAATGGCAATGTAAAGCTGCCAAGTGTGACAAAAGGCATCATTTAAACCCATCGTGGCCTCATCAACAGAACTTAGTTTTTTGTCGAAAAAAGAAAAATGACTTTGTTTTCAAAAAATCGACTAAAACTATGACTTGAAGAGAAATCGATTTTCCAAATGAACAGAGTCGCCACTTAATTTTTTAAGGAAAATTAAGAAAACTTAAGATTTTTCAAAAGACTTAAATAGATTAAATCAATTGAAATTAAAAAGGGGTTCGGGGTTCAATTTACATTCCGAGAAGGTGTTAGGCCCTCAGAATGCTTGCTAACTTGTGGTTGATCGAAGATTTGACTAAAATGACTTTTCAACTAACTTTTAAAATTTAACCAAGTTTAAAAAGAAAGATAATTTGAAGTTGCTACTTTTAAAGGAAAGAATCAACATAATTCCTATTGGGATAAAATAACCATACATAACTAAATATATAAATAAGTAAATAATAGATATTTCAAAAATAAGAAAGTATATCTTGGGAAACTTAATTAAATTAAACCATAAAAAAAAACAAGTAAAGGTTAGTCAACACAATGATAAATAAAAGCAAGGCTGATTCCCGTACCAATTTCAATAGATTGCTCAAACGGATAAGCAAGGAAAGTCGTCCGATTGAGGGGTAAAGGCAAAAGTACGAGGAGATTGCTCCACCTAGCCTGCTCGCGTACAAGGACGAGCTGCTTTTGCTGGAAAGCTCGTACGAATTGGAGGAAGACGACAACAGTCGTACTGTACTGGGCACGTGTTCCTCATCGTTGCTTTCCGTCTTATGTGACGCGTATTGCAATGTCGTTTTGACGTCGTTGGAATAGAGACGTCGCGTGGATTGGAATTTTTGAGACGTCGCTCACGCCGCTTTGAATTGATGTTGTTGTTGACGTTTGTTTTGACACTGCTTTTAGGTCTTCTTATTGATAAGGGGATTGGGCCAGGAATTGTTGTGACAATTTGGCCTGGGAACGGCTGGAATTGGAGTGGGCCGGTCTGGAGATGGGAATTTGGGCCTATTTTCTTGGCTGAAAATAGGGTTTAAGAGAAATCAGAATGTCGTTAGGTTTTGCAAATTAGGAAATGGTCACATGAATTGCAATTATGGCCAATAGAGATTAAGAAGTTAGCCAAATTGAGTTTAATCGATTATTAGGCTAAAAGCTAATTAAGATGGATTAGTATCAATTAATGAGCTTCTTAATCTCAACGAAATAAAATAATTAACTTGAATGTAAAATAATTAATTTAAATACAAACTAATTAATTCGAAATTAAACCATAATTCAAACTAAAACTAATTAATAACATATTTAGTTTAACTATGTAAAAAATATTTTGATATGATTTTCAAATATTTATAAAATATACTAATTATATATATAATTATATGAAATATATTTATTATTCAAAATACTATAAAAATCTACTGAAATTACTTAAAATAAGGGATAAGGGTCTGAAAAATACTCCAACTTTGGTCAGATTTGCTGTTGCGATACTAAACTTTCATGAGGACCTATTACCTCCCTAGACTATTTAATACCGTATTTTAAACATATATATTTGCCCACGTGGACATAAAAATAATGCAAAATTATAAATAGTAATGTGTCCACGTGGACACATATATACCTTTAAAATACACTATTAAATAGTTCAGGGGTAAAAATACAGTATTAAATAGTCTAGGGAGGTAATAGGTCCTTATGAAAGTTTAGTATCGCAACAGCAAATCCGACCAAAATTGAGATATTTTTCAGACCCTTATCCCTTAAAATAACCTTGAAACTATTTGAATTTTATAAAGCTAATTACTCTAAATCGTTTTGAAATTAAGAAGCTCGGAAATCAATTATCATCGAGAAGGGTCAAAATTGGGTGTCAACAACTGTCCCTCGTTTGACTTGGATTGATGAAAGAAATCCGAGAAAAATGAAATTGACAAATCCAATTTTGACCGACCACGTCTTCATCTTTTGGAAAAGGGATTTGGAACGGACTTTAGGAATTATGGCCGAACCCCGAAAAATGAGTTTCCTACATATCTCAGGCTATATGAGAATTCAGGCCACTTGTAGTTCGATACACTTGATTTCACGCACAATTTTGAAAGAATTCATAAGCCATCCTGATATCAAATTATGGAGGGACCGAACAGCTGAGTTTTCAACACTGATCCCGCCTACATATCCCTCAACTTAGGGAATCAAGCTGCTTGTAGTTCGACTTGATCGATTGAGAAGGAAATTTCTTATGCTAAAATATCATTCGGTTCAGTAAGAGTGACAAAATAAATCGAGTATGAAAAGGAGGCTTGCAACCTCTTAGCAATAAATGTGGCGTGCTTCACACCTATGATTAAGAACTTACACACCCATAATTAAGAACTTACAACCACAATTACTTCGTCCGCACCTGTGGTTTGAGAATTCATCCTCTTGGATGCTCTCGAAAAAGACTAAAATAAACTTGTTAGTAGAAACTGTAATTGAAAAAAGTGGTAACATATCTTACTACACTTTTTGGTTATGTTCTTGCACGTTTCTGCGGATGCTCCATTGTCTTAATGTTTTGAAATCATTTTTGCTTTGAAAGATGTCATATCAGTTCTGCACGCTCAAAGTAAATAATTAGTAGACATAGTGCCGCTTTAGCTAGCGGCTTGAGTAAAAACATAATGATCATTCATATAACAAATGAGTATATCTTAATGGATAAGCATAAACATCTTTTTTCAACTAGATGAGAAAATAAAGAAGTATTGAGAGTAAAAGATAATGGATACCGCTTTCGAACACAGTATGTCCCTCATGATTTGCTAAGGATTCAGAGATGTCAATGCTTATTTTCTGCATGGCAAACTCCGGTGATCTCTGCAACGAGCTAGTTGGCTCAATGATTATCCAACTGTAACGAGATGGATAGCTCGATGAATATCCAACTATAACGAGGTGGATGGCTTGATGATTGTCCAACTGTAACGAGGTGGATGGCTTGGTGAATGTTCCAACTGTAACGAGTTACGGGGCGGAGCTACCCTTGCCCGAGGGGTGTCAAGCGACATCCGTTCATCGAAAAATTACATTGTATAGGTAAGTCAAATTCTGATTTTATACCTATATATATTAGAATTGACACTCTTTGACCAAGTTGAAGGGTTAGTTCAGCGGTTCAGGGGCTACAAAATTCCGCCTTGTCATTGACCTAGGCGTTGGGAGTTCGAACCTTGCTGAGGTCTATTTTTTTTTAAAGGCTTTCAACATTTTTTTTTACTTTTTAGACAACTGTAACTTTTTTGTCTTTAGTTTTTAAATAGCTAAACGTTTTTTCCTCCAATTTTTAAACCATTGACTTAAATTAAGTTTACTTAAATACTTTATTTTTTAAAAAGAAATAAAATACACTTTAGGGATTTAGAGTCTAGGGATTAAACAAATCCCCAATTCCAAAATCAAAAGTTTTGAAGAGGAAGAGTCCAAAAGAGTCGACTTTGTTCGCTGACTGCGCCGTGCAGTCGTCTTCAGACTTCAATCGCCATTGCTCGGCGTCAATCTACGTCCTGGTCATGGCAACGGTTAGTACCTCCTTTCTTACACCTTGTATTTATTTTCCTCGTCCAATTTGTTGATGCCAGCCATCATAATGCTCTATTTATATTTACTTGTTTTGTTTAGGATTGATTTATCGTTTGCAATTATATATTTTTCTCATGAAATTTTTGTTTTACAATTCAGTCTCAAAAATCAGTGAAGAACTATTTTTTCCAAGTAGGAAAATCAAATTTGGCTTCTAATAGTCAACTTACACAGGAAGAAAATGCAAACCAATCAGAAGTACCACTCCATTCTTCTCAAAGACAAGAAATTGATTTAAATTCTTTAGAATTTGATCCAGCGAAAAGGACTCCAATCTTGAACTATCATCCAAATGATCGTGATGTAATTAGGAGAGCATACCTCCGATAAGGTCCTTGTCAACCTGAGAATCATAATTTTTCCTCAAACAGACTTTTATGGAGATATGCTTCGTTTTAATCCAAAATGGTTTAAAGAGTATCATGATTGGTTGGAGTATAGTGTAACTAACGATGCATCATATTGTTTGGATTGTTATTTGTTTAAAGATGATAACATTCATCAAGGTGGAGGTAAAGTATTTTCTACCGTAGGGTTTAAGAGTTGGAATAAGAAGAAAAGTTTTAAGCAACATATTGGTGGGCCGAATAGCACTCATAATCAAGCAAAAAAGAAAAGTGAAGATCTAATGCGAGAACAACAGTCTATTATATCTGCATTTGAGAGACAATCTGATCAAGTTAAGCATGAGTATTGGCTTCACTTGTCTGCCTCAATTGATGTAGTAAGACTTCTTTTGAATCAAGGATTTGCATTTTGGGGTCATGATAGACTTCTTTTGAATCAAGGATTTGCATTTCGGGGTCATGATGAATCTAAATCATCACTTAATAGAGGTAATTTTCTTGAAATTCTCTCATGGTATGCGAAACATTGTGATAAAATTTATGATTATGTATTGGAACGTGCTCCTCAGAATGACCAAATGACTTCTCCAATGATTCAAAAAGATATTGTCACTGCATGTAAGATAGAAACCATCAAAGCTATTATCCAGGAATTAAATGGTGACTATTTTTCTTTATTGGTTGATGAATCTTTTGATGTGTCATGTAAGGAGCAAATGGCTATCGTTTTACGATATGTTGATCGAATGGGATTTGTGGTGGAGCGATTGATTGATATTGTACATGTTCAAGATACTAGTGCTTTATCTTTAAAGGGGGCAATTGTCAATGTACTTGCTCAACATTCATTGAGTCTATCCTATGTGCGCGGACAATGTTATGATGGGGCAAGTAATATGCAAGGCGAGATGAATGGCCTTAAATGTTGATTAGGCAAGAAAGTATCTCAGCTCACTCTATTCATTGTTTTGCTCATCAACTTCAATTAACTCTTGTTGCAGTTTCTAAAAAATGTATTCAAGTGGGAGAACTTGTATTATTGGTTTCAAATGTTTTGAATGTGTTGGGAGCTTCTTTTAAGCGTATGGATGAATTTCGAGATTCTCAAAAAAAAAAGGAATTCAAGAGGCATTAGATATGGGTGAACTAACAACCGGTACCGGCTTACATCAAGAACTTGGTCTTATAAGAGCCGGTGATACTCGTTGGGGATATCACTATAAATCTTTTAGCAATTTTATTCTTATGTTTGGATCTATTGTTGATGTTCTTGATGCACTTGTTGTTGATGCATATTCTACCGATGAAAGAGCTAAGGCAACAGGAT